CCCCTCCCCCTTCCCTTACTCTCTCTCTTTCTCTCTCTCCCCACCCTTCTCCCCCCTTGTAACTTATCTAGTTACTTCCTCTGCTTTCTTTCTTCTTCCTCCTTCCCGTCTTTTCCTTCTTCTCCCCCCGTATTCATAAAGGGCCACACCCCACCTTCTCCCAACCCGCAACCCCCCGGTCGCATTGCGTCGATCCCGTTCCATTCCCCTCGATTCTTCCATTGTCCGCGGACCACACCTCACACCATGGACGGGGACGATCTCATCGCCTCGGTCTACCGCAAGATCGAGCGGGAAAAGGCCCTCATCACCGCCGCCTCGAATATGCGACAGTCGACCGATAACCCTCTAGTGCAACAGCGAGTCGATGCGAACATCCGTGATGGCCGGAAGAACATCGCCTACTTGGAGGAGAAGATGCGGGAGCTGCAGCTCCGTCGCATGGAGCACGAGGGTGGTGGTTCCCCCACCGATAAGCGTCTCCCGCCTAATCCTGAGGCTGGTCCCGTCCCTCCTCAGAAGGATTATGCTCCGGGTTATGGGGGTAACGAGGAATATGGCGATGCTTCCGGAGCCTACCCGCACGGTGGTGCTGGTTCTATGCCGTCAGGGGCCCCATATGCAGACCCGCGACCCTTCGCTCCCGTGCCCAAGGCCCGGCCCAATTACACAAAGCTTGGTATGTACTGTTCTGCAGCTGCTGGAGCTCAGGTCGCTGTCTATTGCATTAGCTCCTCTCGGACTGACGTCGTCGTTGGCTAGACCTGATCAAATATGACACTCAATATCTCGGTCCCAAGATCCAGCTCATGCTGTCGCAGCTCGAATTCAAGTTGAGTGTGGAGAAGCAGTACAAGGCGGGTATTGAGAAGATGGTTCGCTTATATCAGGATGAGGGTGATCGGAAGAGCCGTGCGGACGCCGAAGGCCGGCGGATTGAGAGTAACCAGAAGATTCAGTTGCTGAAGCAGGCCCTTAAGCGATATGAAGATCTCCATGTCGACATCGAATCGACGGATACTCCCGATGGTATGTAATCCTGCCATTGAGGCTTCCCCTTATATTTCCGTCGTGCCATGTTTTCTAACGTGCTAATATCGCCTCCATAGATGAGAGTTTAAGCACCCCCAATTTGCGCAAGCCACTGACTGGTCTGCTAACCCTCCGCATCCACGCCGTGAAGGACGTCGACCATGCCGCCAGCTCGAGGTTCTCCAGAGGTCCCGAGACGTTCATTGTGTTGAAAGTGGAGGATACCATCAAGGCTCGGACAAAAGCGACACGCATCGACAGGTGGCAGGACGAAACGTTCAACATCGATATCGACAAGGCGAACGAGATTGAGCTCACAGTCTACGATAAGTCTGGTGACCGACCTACGCCGATTGGTATGCTTTGGGTGCGCATTTCCGACATCGCTGAAGAGATGCGTCGTAAGAAGATCGAGTCTGAGTTCAATGCATCGGGTTGGGTGTCTGCGGATAAGATGGAGCATGGAGGTGCGCCGGGACGACCGGACACCGCTGGGGGACCAGGCTCTGCTCACCCATCAGGGCCCGGGGGCCCTGGTGCGGCGCCGAGTCAAGGCTACGGAGATGGAAGCGCCGGAGCGCCTGGCGGGAACCAGGTCATGATCGATTCGTGGTTCGCGCTGGAGCCAGTTGGTCGTATCTACCTGTCAATGAGTTTCGGTAGGTTTGTTCGAAAGCTGCACCCCGATTGTACTGACCCATTTTGTAGCCAAGCAATTGAAGGACCGCCGGCCATTCGATATCGGTCTCAACCGTCAGGGTGCAGTTCGTCAGAAGAAGGAGGAGGTTCACGAGAAGCAGGGCCACAAGTTCGTCACCCAGCAGTTCTACAACATCATGCGTTGCGCCCTCTGCGGCGATTTCCTCAAGTACGCTGCCGGTATGCAGTGCGCCGACTGCAAATACACTTGCCACAAGAAGTGCTACCCGAAGGTTGTCACCAAGTGTATCAGCAAAGCCAACTACGAGACCGATCCCGACGAAGAAAAGATCAACCACCGCATTCCCCATCGCTTCGAGGGCTTCTCCAACATCTCCGCCAACTGGTGCTGTCACTGTGGTTATCTGCTTCCCTTTGGACGGAAGAACGCCAAGCGATGTACAGGTATGCGGTCTTCCATTATAATATTCTAGGGGTTTGCAATGACGGAATATGCTAACTTTTCGCAGAGTGTGGTCTTACTTGTCACTCGCATTGTACACATCTGGTGCCTGATTTCTGTGGTATGTCTATGGAGGCAGCCAACCAAATCCTGGAGACCCTGATCCGCACCAAGAACCATAACAAGACCGCCTCTGTGAGTTCCGGTCTTAGTGGCCGCACCCTGCGGCCCAGCAGCACACCCCAGGGCCCTCAGGACAGTGCGGCTATGGCCTACCCACAGAAGCCCGTCGAGAGCCCATACGGAGCACCTCAGCGGCAGCCTTCCGCTGAAGCTGTGAGCGCAGCGACCAACTCGTACATGCCTCCTCAGTCCCCGACAGCCGCTGCAAGGCAGCAGATGCCCCCGAGAACGTCGTCGAGTGCGGCTGTGGCTGCTGCTACTGTCGCGACGGGAATGCCCTCTCCCCAGCAAATGCCAGGTTCGTTCACGTCTTCAGTTCTCGAACATTGCTTAGATACTGACTCGAAATGTACAGTGGAGCAGAATCGCCCGATGCAGCCTCAGCTGCCTACATATGACCCCAAGGCGTACGAGCCGTACGCCAATGCCCCGCAAGGCATGCCGCCTCAAGCGATGCAGCATGCAGCTCCTGCCGCGTATGGCATGCCTGCACAGCAGCCGGCTATGCAGATGGTTCCACAGCAGCCTCCTGAGGCTCCTCAGCAGCCCAAGGTCCGGATTGGATTGGACCACTTCAATTTCCTGGCGGTCCTGGGTAAGGGTAACTTCGGAAAGGTCATGCTGGCAGAGACGAAGAGCACCAAGAGGCTGTACGCCATCAAGGTGTTGAAGAAGGAGTTCATCATCGAGAATGACGAAGTGGAAAGCACGAAGTCCGAGAAGCGAGTCTTCATGATCGCGAACAAGGAGCGTCACCCCTTCTTGCTGAACCTGCACGCCTGTTTCCAGACGGAGACTCGTGTTTACTTCGTCATGGAATACATTAGCGGTGGTGATCTGATGTTGCACATTCAGCGCGGCCAGTTTGGTCTCAAGCGAGCACAGTAAGTTATACACGGGCACGGTGGGCGGAAGTGAAAGTTGCTGATTATTCTAGGTTCTACGCTGCGGAGGTCCTGCTGGCACTCAAGTATTTCCACGAGAACGGTGTCATTTACCGTGATTTGAAGCTCGATAATATCATGTTGACCCTGGACGGTCACATCAAGGTTGCTGATTACGGTCTTTGCAAGGAGAACATGTGGTATGGTGCAACCACGAGCACGTTCTGTGGTACTCCGGAGTTCATGGCCCCCGAGGTGAGTGCAATGCTTGTGATCCGTTTCTAGTCGGTACTAATGCTTTCAAAAGATTCTCCTGGATAAGAGATATGGCCGTGCTGTTGATTGGTGGGCATTCGGTGTCCTTATCTACCAGATGCTTCTTCAACAGTCTCCATTCCGTGGTGAAGATGAGGACGAAATCTACGATGCTATTCTTGCCGACGAGCCGCTATACCCCATCCACATGCCTCGCGACTCGGTCTCGATTCTCCAGAAGCTCCTCACCCGTGAGCCGGAACTGCGTCTTGGCTCCGGACCTACCGACGCCCAAGAAGTCATGTCCCATGCCTTCTTTAGGAACATTAACTGGGATGACATCTACCACAAGCGGGTGCCCCCGCCGTTCATGCCTCAAATCAGCAGCCCTACCGATACTAGCAACTTCGACCAGGAGTTCACCAGCGTCACTCCTGTCCTGACACCCGTACAATCAGGTAAGATTCTGATAGATTTTGTGTCTGCTAGTCTCCCCGCTAACACTGTATCCAGTCCTTTCCCAGGCAATGCAGGAAGAGTTCCGCGGCTTCTCGTACACCGCGGACTTTGCGTAATCGCGCCGTCTTCAATGTTGTCCGGACTTTCTGTTGTTTGCTCGTTACCTCATGTCAACATTGGCACGATCTGATTCTCGGAATTCTTGATGCCGGCTGCTCGGCATATTTGCGCTGAAAGGATTCCCACATACCCATAAGAGTTTTGAGAGCTGGTGTAAGCGCTATGATGGCATTTGTGAATGTGGAATGAGGGGTTGATGGGGAGTATTTTTTCTTTATATGTCTTCAGCATCTTAGGCTGTTTTTAATTCCTGTTCTTTTGCGGGCGAGTTCCCGTTCCTGGAATGTAATTCTGCTTCAGCGTTTCTCTCGACTCACTGTTTAATGCTGTATGACTGAATGGAAGACGCGGAACTGACGAGTGAAAGAATGCATCTGGAATAGCATATAATGTAGATGCTCTATAGAGCCGATTCTTCGGATTTCTTTGTCCACTTAAGCACCACAATCAAGGTGCGGAGGGAAGGCACTAGATCTATCCTTTGTCTCACCCAGTGACTGCAGTGTTACTTCAAGGTTTGAAGTTGAGTCCATTGTTGCCCCAGACCAGTATGTTGTCTCGGTCTCCCAAACAGATCCCCTCTGTTTGTTCTGTCCCTCTTTGTCCAACGTCCAACACTTCATCCACAGCTCAACAAAGCATGATCCAAGGAGCCCCTACTTACAGAATCATTGATGCTACTGGACAAAGACATCATGTCTTCTTCCCAACTCCTCTTCGAGCTACTCTCCTCACTTCCGCCTCAGAATGTCTCCGAACCAACACCATTAACCCCCGACACCGATACCGACCCGAACCTTACAGAGCTTGATTCGTCCGATTTCGAGAGCCTCTTATCGACTGGTTCATCCTTTTCACTCTGTTCGCCATATATATCGCCGCCCTTACCAACTCCGCCTTTGCATCGTGATCGCTTTGTTGTCCCAAGTGAAATCGTTGGAAAAGTATCCACCGTTGTACAAGGAGCGACGAAACGACGTAACAGCTTCAGCGAGAGCCTTCACTCTTTGTTTCATTCTCTAGGAAATAACGCACTGATGACTATTCGTGCGCGTTCTGTATCTTCAGGGGGCTCTCTGAGGAGGAGCGCGCTGGTCCCAGCGGAGCAGGATCCGGAGTACATTCAAGAGGATATCAAGGTCAAAGAGGATGATGGGGAGTTTGTTTCGGATGCGGATGAGGTTGATCCGAGTGAACTGAAGATTGAAGAGGCTAGAAGAGCTAGGAAGAAGAAGAGGGATATAGATGCTACATACATTCCGAGGAAAGATGAGGAGGAAGATGATGTCTTCACCCCAGACGCGAATGAGATTGATCCTAGTGAGCTCATCGACAGGGTTGCTCAGAGGAGTAGGAAGAGGAAACCGGATGCGGATGCTACATACTTGCCTGGGAAAGATGATGGTGGTGATAGCAGCCAGGGCGAAGAAGGGGCGGCCAGGGCTTCCAAGAAGAGGAGGGTGATGCCACATCCAGCATTAGCATTGTCTGTTGATGCTCGTCGTCTGACTCCCGAGAAGCCGGTGAAGGCAGAGGTTCCTGTGACGCCGTCTGCTCAAACCGCTCCTGTGTATCAACATGGGGTGACTGGGTTCTCGCAGAATGGTAATGTGATGACGGATCTTGGTGCGATCCCATATCCCACGCCGGATACTCTTCGAAAGAAGACTATAACTAAAGCTGCAATCACTTCGTCTGCGCTTCCTCGTGCTCGCCCTGTCCCGAAGAAGGCTCCGAAAACAGAACATGAGGAGTACGTCCCAGGTGAATCTGTGTCTCCCGAACCGGAGGCAACTCCGATAAAGTCCATTGAAACCGAGAACATAATCCCAGCCGACTTTACCGAGGATGTTAATGAAGAGTATCAAGACCGGCCTATCCATCATACTGAGAAGACGGGTATTGTCTTTGACTTTTCGGTGGAAAGAGCCAAGCGTTGGGCCAGCGCCATCAATGTTCCTAAGGGTCTATTCAATGAAGAAGAAAAGGATTTGTTCTTTCGCCTTGCCATGCGCGGATTCGAGCCGGTTGTCCCCAGAAGCTGGCGATATGACTTTCCGACGCTGCCTGAATCTTTGTATCCTAGGAGCTCCGAGGAGACTGATAAGCCGATTATCGACGTCACTCGAAGCTCTAATCTCTATGGTGAGTTTTCACTTACTACGTTTCAAGAGAGATACTAATATATATCCAGCTATTAAAGCCTTGACAAGTCTATTTGCCGTCGGAGGCCGTGTCCGCGACTGCGACATTCTACACCAGCAGCCCGAACCCTTGATCAAACAAGCAATCCAGAAATACATCTCCTGGGCTCTTTTTGACGTCAACCTACACACCATGAAGGATGCACTGCCAGTACATGTGATATACGCTCAAAAGAAACACGAAAAAACCATCACGGCCGTCCGCAAGATGAACACAAGGCTTCAGAAGCTTACCCGGCAGCACCAGGAAGACCTTGGCGTGGCAAACAACACCTATACAGAGAAAAAGATGGCTGAAATACTTGAGGCTACCAAATTCCCCCTTCTCACCGGATTCATTATCTGCGGTCCCATCGTCGCCATCTTGACCCATAGCACTGATCCTCGAGAGATCGGCAACGGCCAAGAAGACGGTCGGTTCATCTCTCAATTTGATCTGTCGGAACGCGGTCAGGACGTGTGGAATTCCCTGGCTATTGCTATTACGGTGATGCATGTTCGTCGGACTATGTTGATGTTGGCGCATCAAGGAAGGGGGAGTTATCGGCCTGGTCGAAAGCGCAGTCCTTCGGCTTTTGATGTTGATCGTTGAGGTGATCGTTGGTTTGATGGTGGTTTTGTTTGTTATGGGTTTGGAGTCGCATGTTTAGCGATTTAACTTGCAGTGCATTTTAGATACTTCAGCTACTTGCTTGTCCTCAAATGTTCACATGAAATGATAATTCGATGCACATTTACTAGTCCTTGAGTTTGTATCTACAAGTGTAGGTCGAAGTTGACCCCACTTCTGCAGTATTACTCTACCCACTCTGATTCCTGGCATTAACAGGAGTTGGAGGTTTACGGAGGAGGTGGTAGTTCCGATGATGATGTAGGGTGGATATTTTAATATAAGTTTATTGCCTGATTAGAATTATAATACTATCGCATTAATACTTGGAGATACAGTAGCCGGTGCACAAATTCCCATGCATATATCATAATTTTATATCATACGCACCATTGTATGATAATCCTCCTCATGCCCGAACCTCTCAAAAAGGTACTACGAAAGAAAGAAGGGATCAACGAGCCAGCTGCAATAAACTTCTCTTCTCGTATAGTATATTCCATGTTAGAACCCTATGGAATATTTCCGCCGACGAATCGCCAGGTTATCTCGCAAGTCCCGGTATATTGCAAGTATAACACACAAGATTGGGCGTTCTCCAAGCTTTAATAGTGTGCGCCTCCTCGGCATTGTCCAACGAACCACTTTGCTTGGTATCAGCGTCCCAATGGTCCTGTTCGAGGACATCAGCGGCCCAATTCGACAATCGATGTCATGGCCTAGACAGGTGTGTACCGATCGATAAGACAAAGCTTACTGGTGTGGGAACATGAGCGAAGAAAGGATCGACGTGCGTGTGCTTCCATATGGCATCTTACCAACTCCACCACATCCCACCCACCCCGGTTCTATGCACATGCAATCCACAGACAAGCAGACAGAAAGTCAAGTCGACTTTACCACCCACCCTTGACTGCCAGAAGGCGTGGGACGTTTCTGCCAGCCAGTAATACCGGGCTATCGTCCAACCTCATTGCTAACAACAGCTCATGAAATAAAGCTGTTCAGATTTTGTATTCATCGTGGCTATCTTCCCGAATACCACAGTAATCACCAAATAACATCTGTGGCCAGGTGGACTCCGAGGAAATATTCATATCTTAACAGTATCAAGGACTGCAACATCATCCAGATCATCAATGACATTCCGATGCTTGAGAGACGATCGAGAAGTCTACCAGATGGCCATACCAGCCGGCCCATCTCGGATAGCCCATGAAGTAGCGACCATAAACTCATCTTCAGGCTGTAAGCAAATAAGAGAGCTATGATGATATATCAGTTATATGCCGGGCAGCGCCTTTTCGGTGTCACGGTTGGTGAGAATAACTTGAAAAAAGTCTCGGACCCTATAGTCGAACACTTGAGCAATATGGGTTTGGCCGACTCTAGATACCCTGCCGATTGCCTGTTCATTGAATGCCCGGGTAAGAGCCACGCTGAAAAGATGGACATTTCTGTGAGGTTGCTGCAGATTCAATCCCATTGAATTCATTATATAGGACATGATGAGAATCGTGTCCTTATCTTGGTGCTCATCAAAGTTGTTCACGGGCTTATGATGTTCGCTGTGATCATGATCAGAGTGCAGTATTATGCATTCAGAACCTGCCGCTTTCAGAGTTGTATATATGTAGATTTCTTCGCCTGGAAACCAGGTCCACACGAGGGAAGAACTTGGTCACGCAGTATTCCAATAATAAATCTTATCTTGGGCGAGCCTTTTGACATGTTGGCCAGTTGTTGAGTATCTTGCATAAGACTGGTCCTGGGTGGTTTCTTGAACTTCTAGTATAGTGATTTGACCTCGTCCTCACTAACAACCACTTCTCGCACATCGTCTCCAAGAAAGTGGGGATCAGACGTCCTCTATTAGTTGCAGCAGACGGCCATTCGACATGGCCGTAGTTATGTTGCCATTTGGCGTGGGGTCACTTCCTCGCTGATGACACTTTTGAATTGATATTAGGTGTTGTTAAATAGAACCTGAGATATGAAGTATGTGTCAGGCTGAACACATTGTCGGCGTTAGAAGGATTATGTGGTGGTCACCACCAACCACCAGCGAACCATTCGGCTAGCCAGTGTTTCGTCAAGAAAGTAATAACATATCATTCCGTCCTTGCTGGACATGCATTTTTGTGTGATGAGCAGAGATGAAGGATTTTGGACGATTCCCTTTCACTGGAACTTGGCGCTTTTGCCAACAAGATGAAACTGGTGCATTTAGTCGTGGTATAGAAACCGCTAATCAACTCGCAGCAAGCCCCAGTTTCTTCGATGTCGATATCAGGCGACAGTTTATATGGTCTTTGTGAAATCCGCCAGTCCTGATCAAGGCGCCAGTAATACTCTGTATCTGTAGAGACACATCTTTTATTGTTGTCGCTTGGTGCTTTGTCCCGTGGAGATAAGCATATCGTGGTGTGTGAATCATCAGCCACGCAGCCACGCAGCGAGGCGGCTAGATCATAGTGGGTTTATCATGACCGTCCTTGATGCCCGCTGTGATTTTTTCAAGCGAGAAATAAGAAAGACAGCGTTCTCTTTGGCGTTTTGCGCTATTCGTTCGTTATTATGACCCTATCGTGGTCCGGAAACCAGCCAGCCAGCCAGTTCATGGCTGTGTGGTTAACTCTGATATCAAGTCAGAAAGTATGATTGGTCTTGCGTCTCTGTCTGGTGCTATTTGTTTTAAGTCGGTAACAACCGTAGGATGAGGAAGATCGAGAACATGGTGCCGGATCTTCGTGCTTTATTACCACATTTCCTTCTTATGTGTTCATGGGCGTGCATGCCCTCAGCATTGCCAAAAGCAATCGCTAGATTGTATGAATCTGCCCGGATCAGTAAATTTATGTTGTCGTCCCAATTCTCATTTACTCAAGACCAATGCGGGCCATTATTCGACGATCTTCACTAGATGGTGGGCGTTTATCCAGCATACCTAATATAGTCTCCATGGTGTCAGTCAACAATAGGCAGCCAGGGAGCATGCGAAACGTACTGGTTCGCATGTCTTCTTGCCGCCGTAAGAGGAGTGACATAGCACGGAAGCCTTGTTATCAATATAGTATCCAGTTTTATACAGAGCAGCTTCAGCAGTCATAGTTGGTATTGACATGTCGAAGATAGTGCATACAGAACCTGTATCGTGCTCGGATGGGAACATTGCGCTCAGGGCGGATGTTCTTCGTCTCGTGGCATGGAACTGAAAACCATCAGCCGAGGCAGTCGACCTTTCATTCAAGAAATCAGTGTCCAGGATGTGCTTGAGGAAGGTCGATTGAAGCAAGAAGACCAGGGAATTTTGATTGTAGTCAGGAAAGTCCTCCTTGTTGCTGAGCCTTCGACATCTCAATCAGTACACTAAGTAGAGGGGAGCGCGCGAAACCCACTGGTTCGCATAGCTTATTATTCTCGGAGCAGAAGCTACATAGAAAGATGCACGCGCATCCATTTGGCACCCGATACCAAAAGGAACTCTTTGGGCAGGTCTGTAGTTGTTGATCACGTGGCGAAGACAATGTATACAGGAGTTGAACTTCATGCTCACGGGCATGTATAGCTTTGGGCGGCGAGTCCCCTTCGCCATCGTGACGATCCACCATATGCTCACATGAATAGCCTTCTTGATGCTTTTCATGGGGTGCTCTCGAGCGTGGGCGGATTCGACACTTTCAAAATGTTTGTATTACCCAAGGTCGGATGAAAAAAGAGGCGACCAGCATTTGATGTTGTGCTTTGCGCTTTTTGCTCGTTATTGCGGTCGAAGAAGAAGACTCTATAACCCTATATAGCAATGTCAAGTAACATCAGTTGTCTTGCATCGCTCATGTCTTCCCAACATCGCATCTCACTCACAAGGACAGTCGACAGTATTTCCGCTCAAGACACGGCTTTGGAGTACTTGTGACGAGTACAAGTCGCTGCCTGTGGTGTTTCTTTGCGATATCCCAGAACTTAATTGATTTTGATGTTGTTAAGCACCAGGTGACCAATGTGCCACGGCTTGGGGATATCTATCAGATTAGCTGTTGGCTGAGCCGGTAATCCCAGTAACTTGTAGCTTATGCCTCGTCCTCCGAGTCACAGAAGAACCCAGCCCCAGTAGTCTAGTAGTTATCATCTCTACCCCGACCTACGGAGCAGAGACTTGGAGTCTGGTATATTCGACACAAACAACAAATTTGAGGTCTTGGGAACAAAGGTTCTCCGTCGTATCCAGAAAGCCACACTTGTGTGGCGCCGGGTAGCCCTGGCCCAGTCTTTCTGGAACCACTTCAGGATGCTACCCAAAATGCCATCTGCTGTTGTTGTTTGTGTTTTGTTTCATCAATCGTTATGTGCCTGGTGTAATCAAGTTCGTGGACGTGTTCACTCGGTAACACGTCTTCTTCTAGCTTATTCACACGGTGCAGTCCGGGCCCAGGTTCCAAACCCACGTCAAGTTAGAATGGTAGGCCGAGCACGCCTATACTCCTCATATGCCGGCTTCTGCCTGGTACTCTCATTGTACTGTCTGTTGATGTGGCTCACAGGGGTTCATAACCAATGAACAGCCACCTCCACTTTATTTTCCTCGTTTAAAAAGCCCTGAGCTGGGGGGAAAGGCTTCGAGTTCTTTTCAATAGAAACTTTCTCCAGAGGAGACACTGCGCCAGTGAGCTATCAAGTCTCATGTCTCGCTAGTTATATCAACTGATTGTTGGTCCATTTGGTAAACCATGCTGTAAGCGCTGCTCGAACATGCCGCAGTCGCGTGGTGGCTCTTTGATCAAACGATGTCAGAAGGGCCAAGCACGACCATTCAGAAGGTATTAGCTGGAGCGAAGGACAGAACGAAGGCTGTTATGTCTCAAGCTCTCACTATGCAGAGCGAGGATCCCGCACGCAGTACGGAATGGTCCAGAAGACCGATTCTAGAGCATTTGATGTCGGCCTTTTGTAAGGTAAGGTCAGGAAGGTTTTCTAGTTCGGTCAAATAACTGACATACCATAATCAAAATGCACTCGGCCCATGAACCAATCTACCCTAATGATACTTTGTAGATCAATATTCTCGTCATCGGGTATGGACACCTTCGTATCTTCGACTTCATGAAGATGCTATTACGTTCTTCCGATAAAGGGTTTATCTCTGAAGTATCTTCATATCTCATCTAGTGACAGTGAGCGTTTAGATATGAAGATTATTATCAAGCTTTAAAATAAAGTAATAGAAATCCTGTCAGATTATTTTGGAACGTTGGAGAGGCAGGGTGGTTGAGGCCTTTATATAGACCGGGTCTCTTGGAGACTTCACTGCAATCGCATCGTCACTGAGCCATATTTACTCTTCATCGTAACTCTGAGTTGTTACATTCCCACGACGAGGCATCATCCACAATAAGGTGAATCTATACAGCTGGTGATAGCGCTATAAAATGCGATTCATGCAATTCCATGCTGTTTTGTGCGGATCGTGAATAATGTCAACAGGGGTTTCCTCTACACACATGGATTTAAAGTCTTTATGATGTAGACTCCGTATAACTCATTCTCTATCTACATTTATCTAGTAAGTGTATAACTAGTCTTGGAGCCTGATCAGAATTGGGGCATGAGCTAGTACCTTTGAACCCTTATAGTGGCCAAACAGGTAAGGCTGACGGAGAGAAATATATAATAGTACTACTAATACTGGCAGGCGACACCCTTTCCGGGATCGATAATCTAAACCAGTAGCTATGTCAGAATAGCGTCTAGAAAATCTAGTGGGGTAATTAGTTCTGTATGAATAGGTACTTAAAATCATGTTGAACTGGTTTAAGAAGGATGATTATGCAGTTGGAATCGATCTGTATAGTGATGACTAAGCACTCGACCAGCAGATGGAATCCCCGCGGCGACTTCAATCTTCCTGATTCGATGCTTTCAACGCTTCAGTATACTTAGTGGCACTCCATCATGGATGCGGCTGAGGATAGGGAGGTTAAACTCCAGCGTGCCTCTGGAGACCTCGTCCAAGAGTTTTCCGAGAAGCTGCCATCTCTCCTTTGGAAGACTCGACCCGACCAGCCAAACACCCGCATTCCACGGAGATGGACCCCCGCCGCAAAAACAGAAAGACTCGTCGGCCTGGTAAGCAAGCTGCCCACGCCGTTTCTAACCTCAATATCTAGTCTAAGGATTTTCCTTGTAGTGAGAGCTGACCACTTTGTAGTTGGAGCCGTTTCAGGAGTGGCCGCAGCTGTTGGACCCCCACCTGCAGGCCCTTCTACCCCCTTTAGTTGATGCCTTTCTGGCATATTTGCTGAAGCATCGCGATCAATACGCGTTCAAACCCGCAGGATTGCAAGGTCAGAAGACAGCGTATCCTCTTCCAAGAGCGATCTGCAGGCTACTCTATACCTTTTGCAAAGTCCGTGGAGTCAAAGTTATCAGCAGGTTTCTGAACAATGAGCCCAAGTATCTTGATCCGCTGCTCCGCGCTTTCGTTGAATGGGATGCCATCAAAGATGAGCCTGAGCTAGGCCTTGGAGACATTCCCCTGCGACTGGTCTGGGAGGAACGATATGTGATGCTGATCTGGCTGTCGCATTTGTTACTTGCTCCCTTTGACCTGGCTTCGATGTCGTCGGATGATATCCCGGTACCGTATGACAACCTTGGGACGTTGAAACAGATACCAAACCACACACCGGTGGTTGCAAAATCTCTACTTTCTGTGGCATTGAATTATGTTAACGTCTCAGGTAAAGAGCGGGAAGCCGCTACAATCGTTTTGGCACGACTGGTGCTTCGGCGTGATATGCAGGCGCTTGGGCTTTTGACTAAACTGACGGACTGGGCGTTTTCGGTGGTTCAGCCTGCAGGTAATCTTGAACCCCCTTCAGTCTACACGTGTATTGGCGTGTTGTCTTTCATCGCTCGCCTGGGTGCGTCGGGCCAGGTGGAGGACTTTGCTCCCCTGGTGTCTCCCGTCTTTGGACAGACCCTGCAAATTCTGCAGGGTAACTCACCTGTCTCAGACGTCATCAAGTCTTCTGCTCTGGCACGGAAGACTATCATCAAAATCTTGCGTACGGTAACAGTTATGGCCTTGTCACTCAGTGAGAGGGGAGACAGTACAATCTCGGACGACCAGGTTTCTACAATTTTAGAGGATGCAATTGATCACTTCCTCGTCGCTCTTGCTGATAAGGATACCCCTGTACGCTTTGCAGCGAGTAAGGCCCTAAGTATCATTACTTTGAAGCTGGATCCAGATATGGCCGCGGAGGTCATCGAGGCTGTTGCCGGCTCTTTGGAAGAGAACATCCTATATGAGAAGCGGGACGGCACCATCGTGACACCGCTGGAGGCTCGGAGGATAGGGATTAACACGTTGAAACGGAATTTGAGCGCAGTGGACGCTCAGAGGTGGCAGGGGCTGATCTTGACGCTCGGCCATCTCTTGTTTCGCCGTGCGCCTCCTACCCATCAACTTGGCGATGTACTTCAACCACTTGTTTCGGGCCTTGACTTCGAACAACGGTCATCAACTGGAAGCTCCGTCGGAACAGGTGTACGTGACGCCTCGTGTTTTGGGATTTGGGCGCTGTCTCGCAAGTATACCACCCAGGAACTGCTTGCCTTGAAACCGCAGACAATCAGCACAGCCACAGCTCAAGGTGAAGAAGAAAGCACATTGCAGATGCTAGCAATCGAACTTGTGTGCGCCGCGTGCGTTGATCCCTCTGGAAATATTCGGAGGGGTGCTTCTGCAGCACTGCAAGAGCTCATCGGGCGTCACCCCAACACAATTGCCGAAGGTATACCGCTTGTGCAAGTTGTGGACTACCATGCGGTGGCTCGGCGCTCGCGGGCAATGATCGATGTTGCCAACGCGACCGCTGCTCTCAGTCTCCATTACTGGAGCCCCCTTGTCGAATCATTGATGCACTGGCGAGGTATTGGCTCGCCTGATGCAGAGTCTCGCAGGCATGCAGCCAAAGCGATCGGAGTTTTGAGTACGCAGCAGTCATACAAAACGATGCAACAAGTGTTCCAGCGGCTGCTGAATAGGCTATCTAGTATTCCACATAGTGACGTGGAAACTAGACATGGTTGTCTTTTGGCCATCGCAGCTACGGTTGACGCATTCAACGCGCACCGTGAGAGGGATCCCATAGATGCATCGGACGCAACGAGTGTCTCGCATTATGTGGCCAAGGCCTGGGAGATATTTGACTCTTCGCTCGGACCAACCAAAGATGACCTCACCCTTCAGACTTTCCGGCCTGAGCTGACAGCGGAGGCCTCTTCTCAGTTGATCTGTTCTCTTGCTCAATCAGTTACCCTGGCCCGTGAACCACGAATTTCTCAACCCTCAGTGGATTTACTAACCAAGGCCCAAGAAACGCTCTTGCTATGCATATCACGGAGCGAGGACACTTCTATCGAGAGCTCATCCGATGCAGTATCCGAACTTCTACCTCTTTTGCCACCTGACGAACAAGAGAAGATGATTCAGGGGTGGTTTTCCCACATCCATACTACCTGGAACCTGCCAACGGGCCGCGGCCAGATCACGGCCCTGGGCACAGTGTTTAGACAAATTGACAAGAACAGTCCTCTCAGAAAATCTATCATAGACAGCATCATAGAATGTGCAGAGAAAGAAGAACTAATCGAGAAGAGAGTGGCCGCTGTCAGGAGCTTGGCTACCGGTGTTCTGCCGCATATAGGTATGTTTGATTACCAAAAAGTAAAGCAGCTGCTGACGCTTCAAAGACGTAACCGGTGATATCCTGAATCACCTCGTACGTTTCTTGAATGAATATACAACCGATAGGCGAGGAGACATCGGTTCCTTGATTCGGCTTGAAGCGATCCAGGCCGCAAAGACGGTCCTAGAAGCAGGGCCAAGACTTCCCAATCAATTGCCTGGGGTGCAAGATATTGTTGGGTGCCTTTGCCGACTTGCAGCGGAAAAGCTCGACAAAGTACGTGTGCAAGCTTGGATTTGTCTTCAGGGCTACTGGGAAACAGCCAATGGCTTTCCGCCGTTGACAAGGTGCGTCTACCATGTGTTTTCAAGATAAGGATACTGATTATATCAGGAAATACGAACACTTCAGTCATGTATCCTCAACAGATTATCTGCTGCAGCTGCTCCAGTTGCAGAGTATTGACTGGCTGCGCCAGCCTCTGTTCCAAGGCCTAGCAACTTCGGCCGTTGCAGGTAGCGAAGGCCTGATTCGGTCATCTCGCTCAGCTCTGGTACAGAGCATTCAAGAAGCAGAAGATCCGCAGGCTGCAGTATTGGCCATAATCAAGGACATGGCTGCCATCTTGGGCGAGAACCTGCAAGACGATCGGTTCGCGATTCCTGTGCTTGAGGTCTTGGCTTTCCTGTTGGACAGCTTTGTCTCTTCTGCGCCCGACGACTCGATCCCGAGGTACTTTTCTCCCATTTGCAGGCTACGACGTCTACTAACATATAGTAGTCTGCGGAAGCTATTTGTCCTCGTACAAAGAGCGCACTTCAAATCGTCAAACATCGCCCGACTCGAAGCGGCAGTCCGGGCTTATGCACCTCTGTCGAGGATAGAGCAGCTACATACGGAAGTGATCAAGAAAATGACGGCGCTGCTACTGCATCCGTTCCCTAGGGTGAGTCTAGCGATTTCTCTGCGGTGTTTACAGCTAATCAGAGTAGGTACGTAACACTGTGGCCGAGTATATATACATAGAGACGGAGATTGAAGTAGTCAAGACGGAAGATTGGTCCAAACCGACCAAGCAGTTGAAAGAGCAGGTTGAGAAGTTGAGGAAGACATTTGGTTGTAATTAGCGCATTTCGGAGTTTTGGATATCCCATGATTCGCGACTTATCATTCCGCATAAAATGAATTGAGATGAAATATGAAAAATGAAAAAGAGACACATACAAGGTCTACTATGTAGCAACGGCAAGATAGGAATGCAAAAAGCAAAAGGGAAATTGCTGTGCATCATCCGTGAATCGAACACGGGCCTCATCGATGGCAACGATGAATTCTACCACTAGACCAATGATGCTGTTGTGGTGAAAGAAAGATCCATATTTCACATTAGCAACGGCCCGGCTGCTCCACCCAGTAGCAATCACCTGACCCGAAGCTCACCCGCTAAAGCGGCACCCATCCACCGGCCCCGTCGCCGACATATCTACAGTTCGAGACCTACTCCAGGTAGGTAATTCCGAGAGCTCTCACACCAATCCTCCAACTCCTCCACCAACAAGGGTACATCCCACCGAAAAACACAGCAACAATGGCGTCCATAACAGCGCCCACCCCGATACCCCCCAACTGCACGTAAGTCCAAGCCATTTCCCCCCCATCTCTTCTTCATCCTCCGAACCCGCATCGCAACAAACCCATATAGCAATAACATAAACTAACAACCATCCCACAGAGTCTATGTACAGTTACCTCCCCCACCATTCCCCTCCCCACAACTACACCACACCTCTAACACACCAACGAAACAAAATAGGTCCGCAACCTGGAAGAGCGCATCAAAGTCGACCAGCTAAAAGAAGCGCTGGAAGAGATCTTCTCCGAATACGGCACGGTACTTGAAATCGTCGCGAAAACGAACCTGAAGGCGAAAGGACAGGCGTTTGTTGTCTTCGACACCGTGGAGTCGGCGACTCGCGCTATCGACGAAATCAATGGCTTCGAACTCTTCGATAAACCCATGGTGTTGGATTACGCGAAGACGAGAAGTGATATGACGGTGTTGCGTGAGGGTGGGGAGGATGAGTTGGAGGCGCATAAGAGACGGAGGTTGGCTGAGAAGGGTATGCTTACCCCAACCGCCCCCCCTTTCCCTCGCCTTTATTATTGTCTTGTTCTGGTGGAAATGGCTAATGTGTCATGTGTTGGTGTAGAACGCAAACAAGCGCACGAAGCCCTCGAAGCTCAGAAAAAGCTCAAGCGACCCCCCGGTGCACCTACGGAACCTGGCCGTCCTGCGAAAACCGCCAAGGGCGCTGGTCTCAAGCCTACCAGTGGGGCTGCGGCGGCGGTTATTCCGGACGAGTATCTGCCTCCGAACAAGATTCTCTTCTTGCGCGATTTGCCCGATACTGCGGATCAGGACAGTCTGACGGCTGTGTTTGGTCGGTTCGAGGGATTCCAGGAGGTTCGGTTGGTCCCCGGACGCAAGGGTATTGCGTTCGTCGAGTACGAGAACGAGTCTGGGGCTATCAGTGCTAAGGAGGCGACGTCGGGGATGCCTATGGGAGAGGCTGGAAAGCCCATTCGCGTTACTTACCAGAGACAATGATGGGGGTGGTTGTGTGGCTTGTTTGGCGTTGGGGTGGGTATTTCTATTTTATTTTCTCCCTCGTGTCTAGTATGTCTCTTGTTTTATTACTATTACTACCTACTTGATTTGTTGGATGGTATCTGGGAAGAAAGCATGTCTGATGTCTCTTTTGAGGTAAATCATTTGGCTGGCGGTGTGATATCTGACAGTGTAAGGCATATGAAGTGACGAAAAAAGAACTGCTCCAGGCTAGAAAGTGTAGGTGAGGGAGGTACTAGTTACAGGGCGAAAGGGAATCTGAACGGCGCCTAGAAAATCACGTCGGCATCTTCTTGCTCTCCGAGGACGTCGGGTGCTTCAGGTGCCTCTTCTTCCTTCTTCTCAGCATCTGCGCTTTCCTGCAGCCTGGCAGCTTCTTTCTGCCGTGCAGCCAGGATCTCTGCGTCTGCAGCGGCGTTGTCGCGCTGCTTCTTACCGGAAACCTTCTTCAGGCGGTAGAACTCTTCTCTGTCGAGCTCATCCAGCTCCGAGTTGATGTCTGGGTGGTGTTAGTGGGTAGGAGGATGTGAGGGTAGGGATACGAACATTTGATGGTGTTTTCAGTACGGGGAATGATGACGTGCTCGCTGTAACCGGTTAGTATCTGGGTTAATGGGCGAACCGCTGCATATCTTACATGGCGTTGACTGTGACAAGTTAGCTTAATGAACGATATAAGTTCTGACAGCAGCACGTACCTCTCCGGTTCACCACCTTAATAACCTCATCTAAAATCACGAATGCAGTCTAAGACAGTGTTAGCTCGTATGACAAACACCGTGAGTGTACAAAACCAACCTGTAGACTAGCCAGCTCCACTAGTGTTTCCACCGCTCTGGCATAGGTCTCCCGACAGCGCTGGACCTGCATACCACCCTTTCCGAGACCCGTCAAGCCAAAGTCGTTGATTCCATCCTCCGTGTAGCTCTCGAAATGAGGGAGCAAGACACCAGAGACGTTCTCTTGCTTGGCCCTCACACGGAACCGGGCCTGCTTGGCGGACTCCTGAATTTGGTAGCCAATATCTCCTCCGACCGCATAGCTGACTTCGGCAAGCGAGAAAGCGGCGATTTGCATGACCCGTCCCATCTTCTGCTTGGCCTCATCGATGCGCCGAGTGATCTCTAGACACCGGGATTAGTCTCCGACATGGTAGGGAGCTTCAGTGAGGAAGGGCTGTCATACCCCGGAAACGCCTGTAGATCGGGACGGGTTAGTGATAACAAGACCCAATTAGATAGGGCAAGTCAAAGAACATACTTGGTCAAAGCCTCACTCTTCCGCTTCAACAAACTGTGTCCAGTCTCAGCACCCTTTAGTTTACCCTTCATCAATCCCAACGACTGGCGAGTCGGAAAGACTGCCTCACGGCCCTGAACAGGTGATTGTAATCAGTATGCATGCCCCCGCACAGCTCTTAAAAGGAGACCGGAGGATCAAATCTGGACATACCACAGCACCCGACATGATTGATGCAGACGAAAACAAAAATGAAAAAAGAGGGAACAAGAAGGGCCACTCCAATCCCGACAAAGGCCACGATAGCTGCAGCGAGGAGGGAGGGCCGCGATATGCGATGACGATGCGCGATAGTGAGCTTGGGCCACCCCGTGCCCGCCCGCATGACTGCTGGTCACGTGCACAACGTCCGACTTCATCGCCCGCAGCGCTCGGCGCTTTTCTCCAACCCGCGCGACCAGACAAGCTTTACCCGTTCATGCGACCCCCTTTTCTGCGGATTTCGTGTTGACCGTGTGAGTTGGTCCCGCTCGATTGGGTGGCGCAATGCCAGGGACAATCCTGCCCCCGAGATCCCACCGGCAACACGCTCAGATGGACCGAACGTCGGCCTCAGGGCCGGACCTCTACCTGATTGTAAGTGGGGGCGACGCATCCATTGATATACCAGACAACCCTGGCTAACTGTGCGATGTGATTACAGGCCGATCAGGATACTGTCTACGAACAGGATCTCCTTCGCAGTCCCGGTAGCATCAAGCCATGGCTTGCCTATATCGAATATAAACAGCAACATGGCACGCTCTACGAGCAAGCCTTTGTACGTTTTCTCTGCCGTCGCGATGACGTCCCGTATACGTGCTAACTATTTCATGTGCAGGTCATGGAGCGGGCGTGCAGAGAATTGCCGAGATCTTACAAGCTATGGAAGATGGTATGGAACCTTTCTTTTTCTACCTGCGGAACCCCTCATATTACCATATTCCGTGTCACATGGTGGTGTCAGAATACAGCTGACCAGAGACAGTACCTCGAATTTCGAACACACCACCTAAAGGGCCGCAACGCGACTGTTTATCGGGCAGAATACCAGAAAGTCAACGCGCTCTTCGAGCGTGCTCTCATCCTGCTCAATAAGATGCCGCGGATATGGGAAATGTACCTCTCCTTCCTGCTCCAGCAGCCCCTTGTCACGCAAACTCGACGGACGTTCGATCGTGCACTGCGAGCTCTGCCAATCACACAACACAATCGGATTTGGAAGCTCTACAAGATTTTCGCGCGTTCCGCGTCAGGCCAGACAGCTGTGAAGATCTGGGCTCGGTACATGCAGATTCACCCTGAGAATGCCGAGGAGTACATTCAATTGCTCGTCGATATGGGCCAGTACACGGAGGCCGTGAAGCGGTACATGGAGATCCTCGACAACACCCGTTTTCAGTCCAAGGAAGGAAAGAGTAACTTTCAACTGTGGACGGAGATGGTCGATTTGTTGGTATCAAAGGCAAAGCAGATCGAGACTGGCCCTCAAGTAGGAATTGATGTTGACGCCATTTTGCGCAGCGGCATTGATCGGTTTGCCGACCAGAGGGGCAAGCTGTGGGCTGGCTTGGCCACGTACTGGATCACCAGAGGCAATTTCGAAAAAGCTAGAGATGTCTTTGAGGAAGGTATCACGACGGTCATGACAGTCAGAGACTTTACCCTGATCTTTGACTCTTATGTCGAATTCGAGGAGTCTATTATCGGAAGCTTGATGGAGTCAGCAGCAACCCGAACTGACAAGGGACAAAGTGACGAGGAAGCTGACTTCGACCTTGATCTGCGGATGATGCGATTTGAGCAACTGATGGACCGCCGACCGTTCCTTGTTAACGATGTGCTGCTCAGGCAGAACCCCAACAATGTCATCGAGTGGGAGAAGAGAGTGGCCCTCTGGGGAGACAACAAGCACGAAGTCGTGCAAACATACACAGCAGCTATTGCAGCTATCAACCCCAAGAAGGCCCATGGCAAATTCTCCGAACTCTGGGTCAACTATGCCAAATTCTACGAGAATGGAGGCGATCTGGACACAGCTAGAGTTATCTTCGAAAAGGCTGTCAAGGTTCCCTTCAAATCAGTGGCTGAACTGGCCGAGACATGGTGCGAGTGGGCGGAAATGGAACTCCGGAGCGAGAACTTCGACAAGGCCGTGGAGATCATGGCGAAGGCAACGCAAGCACCGAAGAAATCGACTGTGGACTATTTCGACGAGAACCTGTCACCCCAGCAACGTGTGCACAAGAGCTGGAAGTTGTGGAGTTTCTATGTCGACTTGGTAGAAAGTGTGTCTTCCCTGGAGGAGACCAAGAAGGTGTACGAAAGGATTTTCGAACTGCGCATCGCTACCCCTCAAACCGTCGTCAACTACGCCAATCTCCTGGAGGAGAACAAATACTTCGAAGACTCCTTCAAGGTCTACGAACGTGGATTGGATCTCTTCAGTTACCCAGTTGCATTCGAGCTGTGGAATCTCTACCTGACCAAGGCCGTTGACCGGAAGATTGGAATTGAGCGACTCCGCGATCTGTTCGAACAGGCCTTGGACGGATGTCCTCCCAAATTTGCCAAACCTCTCTACTTGATGTACGGCAACCTGGAAGAGGAGCGCGGTCTGGCCAGACATGCCATGAGAATCTACGAGCGTGCTACCCGCGCCGTCTCCGACGAGGACAGATTCGAAATGTTCGAGTTCTACATCACCAAGTCGGCTTCGAACTTCGGATTGACGTCCACGAGACCCATCTACGAACGGGCCATTGCAGCCTTGCCCGATCAAGAAGCGAAGGAAATGTGCCTCAAATTTGCAGAAATGGAGCGGAGACTCGGAGAAATCGACCGGGCTCGTGCGATCTATGGACACGCGTCTCAGTTCTGCGATCCCCGTACCAATGCGCCCTTCTGGCAGAAATGGGAGGCATTCGAAGTCCAGCACGGAAACGAGGACACCTTCAAGGAGATGCTTCGTATCAAGCGCAGTGTTCAAGCACAGTACAAGTAAGTGATACCCACATATATCAAGCAACCAGCTCATGACTAACCTCAAAACAGCACCGACGTCAACTTCATCGCTTCCCAGGCGATTGCCCGCAGTCAACAGCGGACTCAAGACGGCGGCAAAGACAACGAGCAAGATGGCGAGGACGCGGCGGCGGAGCGTGCAGACGCAATGGCAGCATTGGAGCGACAGGCTCGTGCCCCCGTGGGCTTTGTCGCCGCCAGCACCGGACCAGAAGGTGGCAACCGGCCACCTCCAGCTGGCCAGGAACAGCAGCCTTCGGCTGCTCCAGTCAACCCGGATGCGATTGACCTCGATGACGACATGGATGCTGACTAGTACTTCTTTCTCGTTTCTCTTTGCTCAATTTACCTGTATACCATTCCTTTTATCTTTTGAATAGCTGCGCTGCAATCTCAATGACAACATCCCATCATCCATCATCAAATTCAAGATGGAAATTGCTGCAAAACTCCTGACTTTCCATCGTCATCGCCATCAATCACTCTTCTATACTTCCCCATCTACCATCTATCCCATTTGAGCAGTCAGTCACTGTGGCTACTGGACCCTTCTTGAATAGCCCAGAACAACCCCTCCAGATCATCTGTACCACTCGACCATCCAACTTCTTTCTCCTTTGTTTCAATCTTCAACCCAATCCATTCTACCAGTCCGCGTACACGAACGCGCTTTTCCTTCTTGCCACCTCGCTCTATATTCGTTATACTTATAGGATACCTATTTAGTTAGTACATCCCATTCTTCTCTTCGGCGTTGCTTTACTATATAGTATAGTATAGACACCCTGAATTGAAGCTGAGCGTGTTTGTCTGTTGGTGATCGATCGTGAACCTTTCTTTACCAATTATATACTATCCATGCTACTATGGATGAGTTTCAGGTTGTAGACCTTTCTTTCTCGTTCAGTTCAGTGTCTACTAGGTACTTGTAATTATAATTACCAAGGTGGAAACGAGAGGTTTCTCTTTCGATCCTATGTATGAATGGTTCTAATTGTATGATTAATACCATCGAGAAGAGAGAAACTAAGAGCAGGTTCTATCTATGCTTCAAGTATGTAGTTATTTACCTCGCAGATTTTCGACACATACACAAACAACGAAACATGAAATATGCATGCTTGGAGATAGTTCAGTCCCCGTCTGTAGATTAGTCAAGGTATCAAACCAAATAAAGTGCAAAACGGTCTTTCTTCATGATGAGCAGTCGATTATATTTACAGGGTACACAAGTAGGTGGGTAGGTAATTTTGCAAAACATGGATGGTAAATGGCAAAGGCAAAATCGACTATAACCCACGCTATAAAATGCCCGAGGTACATGGAAAATAATGGGTAACATAACAAAAGCTGAAGATTGATGATGATGGAATTGTCAGACCCAGGTAGGCCTTGTGGACCGAAGTGATCAATCCTGTTTAGCCGCCGGTGTTTCGGTCTCTTCTTCTGCTTTGGCTTCGGCGGCTTCAGATGAGGCCGGTTGCTCTTCTGCGCTGGTACTGACTTGCTCTTGGGGTTCAGCAGGGGGAGTTGGAGTTGACGGGGCAGGGGAGGGAGCCACGGAGACGGGGGCAGATTTCTCGTCGGATGCATTGGGGAAGATTTCCTTGAACAGATCAGGCAGGAATCGTTCCAGGCGTTTCTTGGTCTCTGTCCAGATGGGCTCCTTGCTGGGATCCTGGGAAGGAGGCACCAGGTAGCCTCCGTCTGCCATGACGAGGAGGATGTTCTTGAGACTTTCGGGGATCGCCTCTTCCTGTTTGGGGTTAGTGTTGGGCTTTGAGTTCAGGTTGTAGTAAGGCAACGTACCAGGCTGTCTCCTTGGCCACTGTTCATCATCCGGTCGAGGATATCGAGGATCTTGAGCCATAGATCGAGCATGCCGTCACGGTTGGGAAGCTGGTCGAGGTAGCGCAGGAAGATTTTGCACACCAAGATGGCCACTTGGACGCGGGTTTCACCCATTCCCAAGGGATCGGAGTGGTAGACTTCGGGCTTCAATAACCGGAGGATAAGAGGGAAGAGAACTTGGTCGAAGATGGCTGTCCACTCCTTCTCATCGGTTGAGCTGATCTCAAGGGAAAGGAGAGTTCTTTGTAGAGCTGAAACAGCATGGTGACGGATATCTCTGCATGGGTTGATGCATTGCGCAGTCAATGATTGGAAGATAGGAGACCAGTAGGCGGACCAGGCTATGAACACAGGTTAGTTCAAGTTTTAATGTATAGA